ATAGGTACAGGCTGGGGTGCCTGCTGGGGGCTGACAGCCAGTGGAGGGGCGATGGTGACGGTCTCCACGGCCGCGGCCACCGCCGCTGCAGCTGCCGCTGCCGAGCTCCCCTTGAAAGGGTTGTTGGCGCTGAACTCCCGCCACTTGGCTCCCAGAACGGTCATCATTTTGGACATGGGGATCTTCGGGTTCTTCTTGGCAATGAGCGGCCTGTGTGGGGTGAAAGCACTGCTGTGGAGGGGATGAGACCCCCCGAGGACCCAGGCACCCCCTTCTTCTCCCATGCTCCCATGTTCCAGGCTCGGAAAACCGAGCAGAAAGCAAGGCAGGGCGCAGGAGAGAGGACACAGCCTGAGACTCCAGTCCACCCCTAAACACTCCTGGTTCCCTATTTATGTGGTTGGCAATCTTCTAATTGGGTTTCCAGATCCTGTACCACCTGAGGGACCAGAGGGAAGAGCCTCCTGTGGGCCGCTGGGTGTCCGGCCCCATTTCTTCCAGAGCTGAGACAGGCCATGAGGGCTTAAGGCCCTGGGGATTGACCAGGACCACCATCCCGGGGCTTGGGGCAAGCAAGAGAAGGAGGGACCATCTGTTAAAAATGAAAGGGGTTCTGCCCAGGGTTGGTGTCAGCCTGATGGCCCCCCTTCACCCCAGGAGCCTGGGGCTCTGTCCCCCAGCTTGGCAGTCCCCATGGACGCTGGTCACAGTGGCTGGCGGTGCGGCCCACCTGAGGAACTGGCTGAAGGCCTTGTAGTTGGTCAGCGTGTGGTAGTCCGCCTCCGAGAACAGGTACTCCACATCATCCAGGCCCCACTCAGCCATCAGCTGCCCCGAGGACTTGGGCTCCTAGGGACACCCAGGCCAGAGGTGGGGGTCAGAGCAGGATCCTTCTGACATGCACCCCCCCACCCCCAGAGCCCCACCCAGGAGGTCTCAGAATGGGTGGTGAGGCTCTGTCTGCAGTTCCTACCCACCCTCCGCCTCCCAGCCCGCCCCCCCCTTCATCAGTAGGAATGGCTCAGGCACCAGCTCATGAGGGAGTGCAGGGCCAAGCCTGGGGGTTTAGCGTAGAGGCTCTGGGGGGGGAGGCTCTGTGCACACCCAGGGCAGAAACAGTAACAGAACTCATTCTCTGGGAGGAACGTGGTCTGGGAATTTGGGCACCAGGCCAGAAGAGTAGCCTGCAGGGCTAGCCTAAAGGGCAGCTGTCCCTGGGGAGGCAGCAGGGCTGAAGGGCTGCCTGAGGCACGCTGGGGAGAAATGAGGCTACCTCGGGATGTCCCCGGTAGAGTCACACATGGACCCCATGAAATGACAGACTGATGCTCCCCTGCTTCCAGGGCCAGGGTGGGGGCATGGGACAAGGGCCCAGCTGAAGGCAGACATGTGAGAGGGTCCCTTGACTACTGCTCGCTTTCCAGATGGGGCACTGAGGCCCAAGGAGGCATGTGACTCCCCAGCGCACACAGTGAGCTCTCCAGACAGCCGGGCTGGCTGGGGTTGGGTGGGGGTGGGGGTGCGGGCTATGAGCTTGGCCTCTAGAGCCAGACAGACCCTGGTTCTAATCCTCACGGGCAGCGAGAGGTGGACAAGCTACTTCACCTCTCTATGCCTCTTTCCCCCTCTGTAGAACGGGATAACAGCACCTGCCTCCCAGGAGGGAACAAGTTAGCACAAGTGCTTGGAATAGGGCCACTCCTGCCCGCTGTGGCCCTGGTTCCAGGCAGCCCTGCCCCACTGACCCATTCAGCCAATCGGCACTTGCCACACCCAGGAGCAGTCATTGGCCAGGTGCCCTGGGTCTCCCACGTGGACAATGAAGGAGGACTCAGGCCTGCTTTCCCAGCTGCTGGAGGGGGCCGTGGGTGGCCAAGAAGCCCAGAGCTGCAGTGACACCCATTCTCAGCCACAAGGGTGCCTGGCCTGAGCCGGGAGCTGACCCCCCAGGGGCAGGGTGAAGGATGTGAAGACACAGGCCCTAGGGGACACCCCAAGCTGGAAGCCCCCAGCCTCTCAACTCCTGGGCCACCAATCCAGCAAACCCCATCACTGCCAAAGCCCCTCAGAGCTGGGCTGTCTGCCCCCGCAACAGAAGACCACCCGGGAGGTGCACACAGCCTCCCTTGGTCCTGGGAACTGAGAACCAGGCCTGCCTGCCCAGCACTCCCCGGACGCCCGTTCTCTGTGACCGGTCAGCGGGGCGCCCCTGTGGGACGCCCTCCTGTGGCCCATCTGCCCCCACGACACACAGCCATTCCTGGAAGCCCCTCGGACCTTGCTCCCAGCAGGAAGCAGGGCAATGTGAACCTGAGGGGGTAACAGTGCTGCGGGAGAACCCTGGATTGTGCCCACAAGTCCATCCTGCAAGCTGTCAGCCCTCAGCTATGATCAGTCACAGATGACTCACAACACACCTGCCGGCTAATGAAATCCCTCTGGGTGTCGGGACACCACGGTGCTTCCTGACTTCAGCCGCTGATGGCCACCATTTCTGCCTCACCCAGCAGGACTGATATTTAGGGAGTCCTTATTTTTAAATCCACCGCTAGCCCAACCTGAGCTTGGGGGCCATGCTAACTCACTGACATCTGCCGCTGCCCAAGAGCTGGGCCCAGGGCCCATCCTCTCCCCGAGGAGCCCTGCAGTGGCTCTGAGACCCCAGGGGCCTTGACCTGCTTTGCATCATGCCGCACACACACAGAGAAGCCGCTTTCCCTCAGGGAGAGCCGCAGGCCCCTCCACGTAGCTGCCCTGACTTGTGCTCATGGGACACCTTCCCGGATGCCCACGCAGCCAGAAATTCAGAATACACACGGAGTAACAAAGTTCCCCTTCTGCCAGAAGCAGGGCTGTCTGGCCGCTTCTTGCTGGCAGAGGTTCCATTTGCTGGTTTATTCTCCCAGAGTGCTCCAAGGGAGAGGCTCCTGACCCAAAACTTGAGCCAGAACACCACTCTCCTCAGACAGAGCTGTGCGCTCCAGGAGAGGAGCAGAAAATACATCAGCAAGAGGCCACTCCATGCCCCCCCCAAACTCCTAAATGTCATCCATCATTATTTCAAATGCGTCTCCAGGACTTGGGCACAGTGCTCCTCGCACACTTGCATCCACGCTCATGCCCACAGGCCCACCTGCCCCCGGCAGCCACACACACGCGCGCGCGCACGCACCAACACGCACGCACGCACACACACGTGGGGGAAGGATGCTCTGGCCCTTTGCTCGCAGGGGCTCCGGGGTCAGAAAGCAGAGAATCGGCTTGAAGCTTCGGCCTATCCAGGCCGGGCATCCTGCTGGAGCCCAGGCCCCTCCAGCCGGGCCTCAGGGTTTTACCTTCAGACAGCCGTCATCATTATCATCGTCGTCATCATCCTTCCTTTTGCGCTTGGCTTTTTTCTCCTTCTTGTCCTTGAGTTTTTTCTTCTTCTTTTTATTAGGGGAGTAGTCACTGCCCTCACTCTCCGACTTCTCTTCCAGATCCTCCTCATTTTCCGACAGCTCGTCATTGCTCCCCTGGAAGAGAAAGGAGGATGGTCAGGGCAACAGGGGCCCGAAGAAAACCGAGTCCTGGGTGGCAGGACTGCCCTCCACGGCCCCCTGGCACAGACAGTCAGCCCACGCTTTCCGGATCATTCCGCGTTTGGCTGCTCACAGCCCATCGCAAGCCCAGCCCGAGGGGCTGCCCTGAGCCAGCACTGGGCAAGGGTCCTGTCCCCGATGGCTGGGCCCCCAGTTCGGTGCAGCCGGCCTGGACAGCCCCGGGGTGAGGCTCAGGCTCTGCTTCAATCAGAATTAAGTTTCTACGGACTTGAGGATTTTAACCAGTGTGACGGGAGAGCGCTGGGACCCAGGAATTTGTGCAGGACGTGATGTCTGGAGCCAAAAAACAAAGTGCAAGGAAAAAGCCCAGGTAAACGGGTGGGCGAAGCGCCAGGGGTGTGAGCCAGCGCCCAACCTCTGTGCAGACGTGTGCACCCCATGGAGCCGCACCTGTCGAACAAAACCTGTAATTACTGTAGACCGCACTTCCCAGTTTCATCTGTCTGTGGGCCCTCCAGAAGCTGCGACGGCCCGAGCCCACCTTCTCCACCACCCCCACCCCGCCACTTCGTCTTGAGAGGAGACAAGGTAATTTAGGCAGCTCTTAAGCTTGGCTTCCTTGATTTAGTTTCCCGTCTGTACAGGCAGCAAATGGCCCATTTCTATGGAGATAAGGGCGTTCACAGCCAGAGCATCCCCACCAGAAATACACTGCCCCTCCAAGGAAGCTGTTTGTTTACTCTCCGCCTCTCCAGATGCAAGTGGACTGGCAGAGCCCTTCCCCAGCCCCCTCCGGGCCTGGGTCTGCAGGAGAGGCTGGGCACTGAGGCTCCAATTACCAGCACGGGGCTTGGCATTTTAGAGCTGGCCGTTGACTGTTTTCAAGGTGAGCTACGAGAAGCACGGAAACGACAGAGAACTGGAGAGGTGGAAAATGAGCTTGGGGAACAGCACTGGGAGGGGGAGAACGCTGAAGAGGACACAGGGAAGGGGCAGGATGGGGGAGGGGAAAGAGGAGAGCAGGGGGGAGAAGGGAAGGGGGAAGCAAGGGCAGCAGGTCTGTCTGGAGGCTCTTGGGAGGGCCCCACCGGATCTCTGCCCTTTCCAGGCACACTGTAAAGAGTTGAGTGTCTTTCCCCAGGAGAGAGGCTCTTCCCAAGATACAGCTGGGAAAGGACTCCCCCACAGACTCCCTGCACTTCCGGACTGTCTCCCACTGGGCTCTCTGCTCCCAAACCTTTTATGCTCATTAAGCCGCTGAGTCAGTGTGCTGGCTGGCCGTTGGCAGACAGCAGGGCCTCTGCGCCTTTCCGGAACTGGGTGTTTCCCGGAATACTGACTCGCGCGGAGCCCCAGGGGCGAAACTGGTCCCGGCTGCCGCTGGAACCTGCCTGGGGCAGGACAGCCTAGCGAGGGCTCCTGCTTCCAGGACAGATGCCAATGCAGAGCCCAGGGGCCACAGCTCCCAGCTCTGCCACAGTCCTCTGGGGAGGCAGGGGTCAGACAGGGACATCTATTTTCCCCGAGGGTGTAGAGTTCCGCCAGTTTCAAGAGACCACCCTTGAAGAGACCTGAGAGGCAGGCTTTTACCCCAGCCCTCACCCCAGCAAAGGTAAGGATGGGAGGAGGCTGCCATGAATTTCAGCACCTCGGACAGAGGCTGTGGGGCGGCCGGAGGGAGGGGCATGGGGCTGGCCCTCCAGCTGCCCTGGGGTGGACCTCACACACCAGACCCGGAACGAGGCAGGATGACCCAGGCCCGATACCCACTCGGCTGAGACTCGAGTGGCCTGGCTGTGGGTCCCGGGGCTCCCTAGGGAGTCTGCAGGACACAGAATGGCCTAGGAGCTCTGTCCCTTGCCAGCCTGGAACCAGGCAAGTCACTAGGTAGGGCCTGACCTCAGCCTCCTCATCTGTGAAATGGGGGATTCGACAAAGGGTGGCAAGAGGCACCAAAGAGATGGTGTGAGAGGAGGCTGCACACATTTTGAAATGGGAGAGACCCAAGCACCCATGACCCCAACTCTGCATGGAAGACAAAGATGCAGGCCAGATGATAGACTTAAGGACCTCGCCAGCCTCACCCTTCTCGTTTCTGTAACTCAGGACCAGGCTAAGCCAACAGCAGAGACCGTGCCCACAGCAGGGTGTCACCTACAGTGCAGCTGGGCTACCTGCAGCCAACGGAAGAGGCTGTTGTGGCAACACCTGAGGGAGGACTGACCTGGGCATCTGATAGGAAGTAGGCATTGCCGCGTCCTAAGCGCAGGAAAGGTGAGAAGCAGCTGGCACAGCAACAGGACCCAGAGGGAGCTGGAGGGAGGGAGGGAGGGAGGGAGGGAGGGAGGGGAGAGCACCTCCAGCAGATTGTCTGTGTGTGTAACGTGGACGCCAGGCCTGGAGAAAGGCCCCAAACTGAGCCTGCCAGAGGGCTGGACCAGTGTCCATTCCAGGGCTAATGGCAGAGCAGGGGGGCCAAGATCCTCCTCAAGGAATGAGTGAGAGCTACCACGGGGCACATCCACCACTCACGGGTGCCCCAGTGGCCCCCTAGGAGATGGCAGTGGTGGCAGCCCCTCATTCTAGGGACAGGGGAGACTTCTCCCTCCACTGCCTGCCTGCATCAGAGAAAGCCATGTCAGAAAGAAAGCTCTGAATCCCCACTTCTCCCAATTCACCACCTGTTCCTTGATCCTCTCCAGCAGAGCCTTCTCCTCCCCGCCCCAGCAAATGAAGTTCACACTGCCTGGGCCCACCCCCACCTGCACCCTGATCTCGTCCAAGCCCTCCTGGCTGCTCGGGGAGGGGCGGGGGTGCTGGCAGAGGGTGGGGGTGCAGGACAGGTCTTTGGAGATTGGTTTCCCACTGGCATCATAAGCCAGTATCCACAGCGTATCTCTGCATCCAGCTGTTTGGACCCTTCAAGACCCGGGCCTCCTTTTTTTCTCCCCCCCAAAATCTTTCCTTGCAGAGCAAGGGGCGAGGGGAAGGGCAGCAAGTGGCTGTAAAAACACATGAAGAGGAATGACCCAGGAGCAGAACCTGGAGGGACGCAGCACCAGCCAGTGGCGAGAAGGAAAGGATGACTGAGGACCAGGGGTAGATCAGCCGGTTCGGTATCTTGGAACTTATAGAAGGGGTTTGGGGCCAAGCCATGTTCAGGGGAGGAGACACAGACACGGAGCAACACCGTCCTAATAAAGCCCTGAACCAACCTCAGCCCCAAGCCACGCCACGGGCTGTGAACACGGTCGGGGCTTTGACCTTGATGCTGTCCTTTGGGCTGTGGCCGCCCCAGGCGTGACTGCAGGGGAGGCACCTTGTGGTCGAAGAGTCTTAGTGGACTCCGAGTCCCTAACCAAATCCATTTGCTGCCTCAAACACCACGCCCAGGCTTCATGTGTGCAGAGCTGGGGGTAAGAGGGAGGGCTCTCTGCCCTGACCCCCGGCGCACTGAGGCCACAGCATACCACCAATGCAGGCCCCGCGGACCCCAAGTGGACAGTCCCTGCCCGCCCTTCCTTCTCCCCAGCTCTGCGGATGCCTTTTATCGGGGCCTCCCATCTCTCTCTCCCTTCCCTCTGCACCCAGCACTCAACACACACCGCATCTCCCGATAAAGGAGGCATTTACGCTCAAAAGGGAGGATTCAGAGAGTTGGTCATTCTCAATTTGGGGTCCTTCAAGATTGAGAGGGAAACAGAAAGAATGAAATATGAGCCTTCCCATTCACGAGTGTTATAAACAGTTATAATTTAGCACTGAATAATTGGTTGCTATGGTAACCGCTGCAGTACAGGTTGAAATCATTTCTCCCTCCTGCGCTGGGCCTGACAAGGAGCTTCATCTACATATGCTCAGGTTCTGGCCACAGCCCCGGTTGTTTTATGTAAATCACGATCCAGGACTTGCTGCCTGTCCCCCCCCCCACCCCCCCCCCAAACGCCCCACCAAAAAAAAAAAACCCCCCGCAGCCCCTCTTCTGCCCCCACCCACCACCGCCTTATCTTGGGGCCACCTGGTTGGAGATGATGGGGAGCACAGGGTGAAATTCCCCTCCCCATGACCTGGGGACCCAGGTAGGCGCACAGACGGACGGGTGGTGGGCAGGGGGCCAAGATGCTGCTCTCTGGCTACAGCCCGCTCCAAACTCTCTAAGATCTGACAGCTGGCCGAGCCAGGCTCCCAGGAGTACAGGGGAGGGGGCAGCAATGACCTAAGGGTCACCTTGGGGGCCTGCCAGGTGGCACCCGGTCATCTGCAAGCCTCCCATCCACCCGGCCCTCCACCCCTAGTGAGAAGCTGAAGGAAGGAGAGAGGGTGAGCAAGTGAGGGGAGGGAAGAAGGTGGAGGTTGGAAATGAGGCTGGAGGGGAAGGAGGGATGGAGAGTGAGGGAGCTCGGGGTGGCTGAGGCAGAGGCCAAGTTCTGGCCAAAACAGCAGAGGGAGACACAGAGAGGGGCCCAGACACACACACACATCCTCAGGTAGGTCCCCGGGCAAGAAGGGAGGGTGAGACCTGAGTGAGCCTGGCACTGGGTAGGGGGGAGGCAAGCACCAGCCCTCCCAGGCTTTGGACACCACTGGCCCTCCCAGCCACGAACCCACGCCCCCCCCAGCCCCGGCCTCACTACTCTACAGACGCTGCCCACCTCTAGCCTCCTGCCTGGCCAGGGCAGGGTGGGGAGGGGAGGGTCCTGCTGCACTGTGTGCCCAGGAAGGAGAGGGAGCATTCAGCCCTGCCTGGGGCACCCCTGGTGGTCCTTCATCTGCATTTAGGAACTGGCCTTCAGACCCCGCCTGAAGGCCTGAGACCAAGGACCAGAGTGCACTGGGTGTCCCATCCAGGCCCAGTGCCCGTGAAAGCAGTTGCCAGAGAGAAATGCTCGGAGTGGGGGCTGTGCTGGGAGCTCCTGCCCTCGGCACAGGGTACAGCACGAGGCCCCAGGATCCTAGACTCCACGTCCCTCCACAATGTCCACAGAGCCTCAGGTTTTGGGGGGTAAGGACAACACGTCAAAGCCTCAACCAGAAGGTCTGTCCCTGCATCGCGGGCTCCTGCCTGCCCTGAACTATCTATGCTCTGTGGCATAAAGATAAACGACACTGGAACGTCCCACTTCAGAGGACAGGGCATTTCCGATCCGACCCGCAAAGTCTGTACAGGCCGCTTTTGGTGTCTCGCACTTGAACCCGGGTCTCAGGACACTCCCCTGGGCAGCTGGGACCTTTCCCCACAGACCCAGGCAGAGCAGCCAAGACCCCTCGGGGCCCTGACCCCCCTCCCCCCGCTGGCCCGACCCCGGCAGGGCCCCCCCACGCACCTCTTTCTTCTTCCGCTTCCCTTTGGACCGGTTCTCCTTGAGCTTCTTGGATTTCTTCTTCTTGGGAAGGCCCACGGGCTCCTCAGGGAAATAGTCATCAAAGCCTCCGAGGCCCCCATCTTCTTCTTCTGGAGGAGGCAGAAGTGGGAGGGGATGACTCTGCCACTTCCCTCAGGGAGGCCCCCAGTGGGGCAGCCAGCCCCGCAGGCCTCCACCTGCCTCCTCCGCACCCCCCTTCCCTGCACACAGGGCCCCGGCCTCCTCGCAAGCCCTCAGAGCCACCAGCCCAGACCCGGTGAGTGGAGTCCCAGCTCAGGCAGGCGGTGTCCCAGGCCCCACTTCCCTGGGCCTTTCCTCCCCTCGCTGTAAGATGGGACAATAACCACCCGCCCTGGCGGGACGGTGCTCGGAAACAATGTTCTGAGCCAAAGCGAGCAGCTAATGAAGAGTCCTCATGGACGTGGCTCCCCCCGAGAGGAAGCAGCCCCACAGGTTCACCAAGCCATCTCTGGCTGGCTCCAGGGAAGGGTCGGGGCCCATTCCTGCCCTCCAGAGGCCCACCGCGTGGTGGGGAGATGGCTTGTGAACGCAGGCGGATGGGGACGCACGGGTCACATCACCCAGGACCACGTGGAGCCACACGATGTGGGGGGGGGTTGGAGGGAGAGCAACAAGGAGGGTGCCAGGCTCCCCGCTTACTGGGGATCAGAGACCACACGGCCTCTCCCGCCCGAACCCGCACACACACCCACACGGTACATGCACCCCCAGTCACACACGCAGGATGCCAAACCCATTCCGGCTGGGCACCCAGGAAGATGTGAAATTCTACAGAGATGCTGCATCCGCCACACGTGGGCTTCCAAAAGCGGCCACGAGTGCCGAGCTCCCCTCCCTCCTTCATGAATTTAAAAGGCCGAGACCACGAGGGGAGGGGGACAGGTGTGAGTGTGCAGCGGGACTGTCTCTGAAGAAGCAACTGGCCTCGAGCCTCCTGCCACTCACCCCCAACGAGGAGTGGGCTCCCTGTGCCCGGGGGATCAAAGAGAAGAGCCAACTGGGGTTCCAGCCCTGCGGGGCTTGGGGGGGGACACACAACAGGGAATCTCAGCCTGAGCGGGTCGGCCACCCTGCGACCCTGAGGAGGGCGCCCAGGAGACTTCCATCGGGAGAGGGGGAAGGGCATCCCTGCTGAATCAAGTTCAAAGAAACAGAGCTCCCACCCACCTGGCGCAGGAAGCCCACCCCCACACACACTGCTGTTGTTGACCGCGTCAGCCGGACAACAGCCCGGTGCGGACCAGCCCACCGCAGGTGCTCAGACACACATGTGCACACGCCAACCTCCGGACTCCTGTCCTCCACACAGGCCCCCCTCATGCCCCGCCTGGGGCCCCTGTCCCCTAGAGTCCCCAGGGTCATGTGGCTCCCATCGCCTCACTCTGGGTGCCGCTAGAGGGCGCTGGTGACTCCAGTGGCCACACCCCAGGGCTGGTTCCCACTCGTACCACCTCCCTACCAGGGGCACCACTGTCTGGGCCCCCAGAGGCCCCGAGGCCCCCCTAAAGGGGGGGTGTTGTACAGCCCCCCAGGAGTCCATGGGGGCAGGCAGCAGGGCATGCCCAAGTCCCAGTCCCCTCCCCATCCTGCTGGGCAACCACAGGTATGGAGAGGGACTCCCAGCAGGACCGGGAGCTGCTGCAGAGGTGGCCAGCTCAGTGGTCCTGGCTGGCACGGGGGGCACAGCTGCCAGGCCTTGGCCCGGGCTATGGCACACAGGGCCGAGCAGGGGGGATGGGGTCAGCACAAAGATGAGTTTAATGCGGGCCAGGTCTTGAGCGGAGCCAGGCTGAGCTGACCCTGTCCTGTCCAGTTCCTCTTAGCCCTCGCACGGGAGGGACAGGGATTTTTCAGACCGGTTGAAAACATGCACGGGGACTCCCAGAGTCATCCTGGAGTGGCGGGGTCTGGAGGTGGTGACAGAGCTGTCCGTCCACACCCGCCCACCCCCACCCCTGCCTCCACCTCCCCCAGAGCCACAGGGAGACTGCTTGGGCAGAGCCACCCCTGCACCCTGGCAATGCCCAGCTCCGGTTATATAAGAGGCTCGGGCTGCTGCAATCGGGAGGGGCCCTCTCCCTCCTGCCACCTCCCCGAATCCCCTGTCCCCCCAGAGGGGCAGTCCCCCAGATTGGGAAGGCCACCTGAGCACATGGTCACCAACGGACCGACTGGCCAGCAGAGCACAGAAGGGGTTGGACAGGTGGCTACAGGAGGTTATCTGCCTGGGGCGGGGGGCAGGGGGTCGGGGGATGCCCCACACTCTAGCCCTAATCCACGCCCAGAACGAGCCTCAGAGGATAAAGCCCCAGACCCTCTGCCCATGGACAGAGCCCCCCCCCTCCATTCCCAGAAGACCTCATGGCCCAGGGCCATCTGCCTGATTAAATCCCTCCTCCGGGAAGGTTCCAGAGCTGGCACACCAGGCTAGGGACCCCACCCTGCCCACTCCCCATCTCTGACAGACCCTTCTTGTCCCTGCACAGATCCTGGGAGCCCTGAGAACACCCCAGGGCTGAGCTCTGTGACACCACTGCCTCCCGGCACCTCCTGATTCCCCCCCACACACCCCCTCCCCCCGTCTTCACCCTGGCCCCATCTCCCCCTCCTACTTCTTCTGCAACAGCCTCTGAGCGTTCTAAAACCAGACCTGGAGAGTCCCAGCCAAGCAACCCTGCCCAGGGCCCCTCAGCGGTTCCCCGAGCCCCCAGCCCTGTGCCCTCTCTTCGGGGCACACAGTCGGGGTAAGGCGGGATCCCACCCGCCCTGGGGTGAGGGTCCCAGTAAAGAGCAGCCCCAAGACTC